AACACGGGCCGCAATTGGCCCGCGGGCCGGACTTTGGACATGCCTGCTTTAAGATATGCAATCCCTATTTAGAAACCACTGAGGGATTATGCATGCACGCTTGTCCAGAGCCAGAGATGTCATTTACCACAATGTCATGGAGGCCCCACTTGTGGTCAATCACAAACTGCTGCTGAGCAAGTCTACAATCATGCATCCCTGAGATACAGAATGAAGATAATGAAGATAAGAAGATCAGGTAGGCAATGCATTAATTCCAGCTGTCTTGGTCTACAGAATGGTCAGCACCCTGCCCATCTGTTTGACACAACAAAGAGTGGTGGGATTGTCTGAGAAGCACATGACGGGAATGAATGAACAGGAGAAATACTTGGCATGCCTTGCTTACAGCCTAGGGTTCCAGAATGCTGATGTGCATCCAGGATTTCCAAGTAGTCCATGTTCCCTATGTCATGAGATTGCGCACATGCGCGCCTCACCCTATAAAGGGATGATTTGGTAAAGATTGTCTTATGAGGCAGAGAGGAGAAAGGTAATACCTATGCAAACCTGACATGGGTCTGTCCACTACTGGCAGAAAGAGTACACTGGACAGGACATGAAATCCATGTGCGGAGATCCATGGCATGATGAATGGGAAAGTAAGGTAAACTTTCTGGAGCCACATCTAGAACTAGCTAAGGTGCAGGGCAGTGAAGGCTATGATGTCAGCAAATGAGGCCATGTGGCCAAAGAGGGTCAGAATGACTGAATGTGAGCTAGGAGTTCCTGCAGAGTCTGGAACCTACCTCAATAGGTAGACTCAGGAGTTGATGTAGGCACCTATAAAATCTAGGTATTATGAGGGGTTCAAGATTGATATTTCAACATTGATGCTAACTCCAAGAGTGGAAAGGAGGCTGTGGCACATGAAGGGTGAAACTTGGGCTTCACATCTGGACTGTGCTACCAGTAGCCAGTTGTCAAGCTAGTAGTACACAAGGACACATACTGCCTTAGATAGGCTGCCAGGACTAAGAAAACTTTGGTAAACACCTTGGGAGCAATCGTGAGCCTGAATGGAAGTACCATGTACTGAAAATGGTGCATGCCAAATCATGAACCTCAGGTACCATCTGTACACTGAAAGACTGCTTTCGCATAAAGAGCCATAAGCCACATGCCTTCTTCTAATGATGGGATGATTGCTACTAACTTGACCATAGAAAACTTGAACTTGAAGATGAAATGATTGAGAAGATGGAGGCACAGAACTGGTCTCCGTTTGCCTTTCTTTTTGGCTATTAGGAAGCTGAAAAGAACCGCATACCCTGGTATTCTGGAAGAACCAGTGATATAGGTCTTCTTTGTAACAAGGAGCTCACCTCTAGGGTGAAGATGCTTTTGTGAGAATGATCAATGAGAGATTGGAGTAGGGGCCATGGATGAGGTAGCACGATTAACTTGATCATATAGCCATGTGGATAACATTTAACACTCATTTATCTATCATTATTGCACTCCAAGTTGGTAGAAAGAGTGATGGATGACCCCTGAAGTGTGTTTGTATGGCAGCAAGAAAGGTGGTTGAGGTCTTCTTAAAGTTCTTCAAAATGTTTTTTTCTTAGTGTTTGCGGTAGACCTGAAGAATATGATCTTTGAGTCTTTTGACATTTCTGCAGCGGTTTGCAAGGCGTCTGATGGAAAAATTGGGAGGTCCTGCAACATTGCAGCGGACAGAGCAGGTGCATAAATACCAAGGAACACAATGTACTTCTCAACCATTTTCTGGTTTAAAATATTGGATTCATTGAAAGGGAGATTTTCAATGGCATTTTGCAGTTCCCTGTGGCTATGTCTACACAGCAGCACTATTTCGGAATAACTGATGTTACTCTGAAATAATGTGTCTACATAGCAAGTCATTATTTCAAAATAATGGCAAGCTGGAGGACTTCTTACTCTGACTCCTGTAACTCTCATTTCACAAGGAGTAAGGGAAATTGAAAGAAGAGTGTTCTTCCTTTGACTTCCTGCTATGTAGACAGCATCAAAAACCAAATTACGCTATTTCGACTTAAGCTATGTCAATTGCGTAACTGAATTCAACTTGCCCTACTTTGTAGACATGCCCCAGGAAATCTAAGGAATGGAGCCACAATTCACTCCACATGGCTATGTCTGTAGCCATAACAGGATCTACCACATCCAGAGCTGACTGAAGTGATGTCCTTGCCATCAGTTTCCCTTCCTTTAAGATTGCCTGGAAGTAGATCTAGTATTTCTGCAGCAGTTTTTCAGAGTTCTCCAGTTTGTTGTAATTCAGGAAATTGTATTCGAAATTGTATTCAAAATTGTGACTGAAGTCTGACTGAAGACTTTGTGGGCCAAAAGATCCAACGGCTTCGCTTGTCCTCCTTATTGGACGAAATGGAACTTGGCTGTTGTCCAGGTGTTCATGGAATGATCCAGACAAGTGAATTGATGAGGAAAGGGGGTATGAGAAAAGAAATTCACACCCCTCAGCAAGTACACAATAGTTTTTCTCACCTCCTGGAAGGTATGGCCAGTGTATGCTAAACTGTTTTAGCTGGCTCAAGAATAGCAACTTTCACTGGCAGAATAACTATCCAGAGCCAATGAGTGAAGGATATCCATAAGTTTATACTGAGTATCTTGGCTCTCCTCTAGAGAGTTGTCTCTAGCCTCTGTTTCTCTGGAGGTGGGTGACAAGGGAGGGATCACGTGAGGATTACCTGTTGTGTTCCCTTGCTCTGGAGCATCTGGTATTGGCCACTGTCGGCAGACAGGATACTGGACTGCATGGACCGTTGGTCTGACCCAGTATAGCCGTTCTTATGTGAAGCTCTCCTGCAACTTTACACAGGTGATCCAGGAATGGGCAGCATTAATCTGAGGTGAAGGAGAGTAACACCATTGCCAAGTTACGTGAGGATGATGGGAATTCTCCTGCTCCAATGGTACTGAGTGTACCAGAATGAGCTGGTCTTCTTTCTTCATTGGTTGTATTTAACTTGAAGATGCCCGAGGATGGGGGAGACAGGAAAAAAGTTTCCTCACAGAATGGGTGGATTCTAAGTGTAGGTATTGGAGCCACAGTTCCCAATGAGGTCAGCATGGCAGATCCAGTGGATATTACAGTGGGTCCCATGGCATGGAGAACCAGTGGTTCTGTGGTACTGAAATGGAGGATACTGCCACAATATAAAAGGCCTATATCCGTAGTGGCAATAGTGGTTGGAGATTCTGACTCCATCCAACCCCAACAAGACAAACACCAGTTTCACTGGCAGTACCAGTGAAGCTGGTGAAACCGTGTAGCATATTGGAGCATGGGGTGCCTTAGCTGTGATATGTCCCTAGAAGAGCTGTTCTTAGAAAGCATGCAGACTGTCTCTCCCAGAACAAATACTTTTTGGGGGCTCTGATGCTTTTTCTGGTCTCTCTGGTATTAGAGAGATTCTTTCTGCACCTGTAACCCCAAAACAGTGGTCTTCCCCAGAGTGAGCAATTCTTGTAATCTATGAGGCACGTGTATTGGTGTGTGAAGTTCAGTATCAGACCCATCAACTTCTGAGGTATTTTTTATTTTAGAGCAGGGATGAGAAACCTTTTTGGATCGGGGCCACTGGCTTACAGAAAAAATCGATCAGGGGCTGCATACAAGTGAGAAGCAAAAAAAAACCACCCCACACAACCATCCTCATTGATGTGGCTCCCAACTGAGATGAGGAGAAAGACACTCCCCAGAATGCAGGCAAGCAGGGGGCCGCATCCACACCCCAATTTTAGAGCGTGTTTCCTCCCCATGACTGAAATTTATTGAAAGATAATCTTTTAAGTTTGGAGGAAAACTTACTGCTATGGATACATGCATGCTTCCTGACCTCCTAACTAGGCCATGATGTGGAATTCATGTTGGTGGTACCACATTCGGAGTCCGTAGCTATAGGCACACTTAGCTATCTCAGGCTGATATACTGGGTACTGCACACCCTGGTTCCAAATGATTTCTTATGGCAACTTCCATGAGATGCTTCTGGGAGCAGACAGCCCAGACTTCTCAGATATGGTAGGAGAAGGATTGGCAGATGCTGTACCTGGATGCAAAGTGGGCTTCTCCCAAGCAGTAGAGGCCGCAGTGATATTCATTATAAAATATCTATAACCATATTCTTTTGCAAGTGCATCACATGCAAGGGGAAATGTATAGTTCCAACCCGGACTACGTGGTGGTGAGAAGGAACTGGAGATGCAGTCGATCCATCCTACCCACTGCCATCTCAGACAAAACTACAAGAGATGTCAAGGGCGCATATGTAGGCCACTGGATGCTGTTACTCTCAAATTCTCCAGCTATGGACATGTTGTGCATGTGTAAATCCTCGGCGGAATACAAAATGGATCATCTCTTGCACAAAATTACCTATAGCACAACATCCTGTATACCCCTTTTCATTCTGAGTTAACATTCCAACCAACTTTTACTCCATCTATTATTCTACCCTCTCTTCTTTATGTTTTTCCTTTGTGACTTCATAGTCTGTTAGACAAGAACACAGTTGAAAATTCAGCAACAGGGATGTCATTACATTACTATACATCAAAAAAGCTTTGTAAAATGAAACCACCATTCACTTTTTCCTTTCTGTAATATCCCAATCAAAATTTAAGTAATGCTTTTCACTTCATTTTCTCAAGTCCATAGTACATTTAGTAGTAGTATTTCTGCTGTACTACCAGATCACCACAAAACTCTTATGGGAGCAGAGAGGCTACAAAAATAGGGCAGGGATAGTAATAATGAAAGACTTACTACAGTAAATATATATCAATGTTCTGTTTCATTCAATAACCCAAAACTTAAACAGTTGTAAAATAGACTAAGATAAAAAAATTCTATATTGCATTCAGCATAGGCGCTGTTGAAGCCCCCAAAACAACTGAAGTTGACTTCTTTATGAATTTTAAGCTTCTGAACACAAGATTAAATTCCTTACTGTATGGCTCCTTGAGCATTGCTGGGGGTGAAAGTTTGATAAAATATTCAAGGACACATAGCAGTAACTGGAAAGAGATCACCAGGTCATCTTCCATCTGCAATACTTTTCCTGAAAATGTAAAAGAGGACTCTGAGTCAATAACTAGAGTTTAAAATAAAATTATTCCTGAGAGAAGGAACATTCACATGTTACACCTCAAAAACACTGAATGGATTTTGGATGTGAGCATGTCCTGAAATGTGATGCCTTTAGTCGTGCATAATTCATAAAGATTTGTCACTCAGGAAAGAACATACATAGCAAATCCATTTTTTTTTCTTAAACTGTACATGAAGTAGGGATGTCAGCAGTTAACCGGTAAGCATCATATTACAGGTTACAGCTAACCGGAGTAGTCGTCCCTCACATGGTCACAGGCACTCCAGCCCAGTGGGAAGCTGCAGTAGGCCTGGCTGGACTGGAGTGGCCCCTCTGACCACAGGATCCTGGTCAAACGGTTAATTAATTAAATTTAACATTTAACAATGTAACTGATAAAACAGGATTTTACATCCCTAGCATGAAGTTCTTATTGTCCAGCACAACTACTTAACCTTCATGTATCACTCCCCTCCCCCCGTTCTCCAATTTCTACTGAAACCTGATTTTACAAAAAACATGCCACCACACACACACACCCTCCCACCCACACACACCACACAAGTCCACTTAATTTACAGTTAAAGCACGGCAATTGTTACATGCCAAGCTGAGGTTAATGAGACTGTTCAACAGACTTTGTGAAAAGTGATTTACTTAACTCTTCTAATTCTGTAATGTTTAACAGCACTTGAAAATTTAACAGTACCCATTGTATACTGTGTAATAGTCATCCTTACCATTAGTCTAGAAGGGTACCACTTTTGCTCATTTCCAGAATCAGTTTGACTAAACTAACCTACTTCTAAACCTCTGATAGCAGTGGTTCCCAACCTTTATAATACTGGGGACCAGCAAATCCTTTCACAAACTTTGGGAGGGAAGGGGGGAGGGAGAGGGCTGCACAGTGCAGGGTCTCCTCCCGCTGCACAGGGAAGTGCTCTTCCATGGTTGGGAGGAGACCCCGACTATGCCCAGTGCTGGTTGGCTGAGAGGCAAGGCAGAACATGCCTCTCCCAACACCTGCATCGAGAGCAGTGTACCGCAGCAGCCATTGCATGGCAACAGGCCACGGCCCAGTGGTTGGGAAACACTGTCTTATAAACCTTTACTGACCTTCCAATACCTGGTAGACTTTTACCCTTTCTTTATGACTCTCAAAAAGGCAAACCAGAAATCCTCCTCCACCCGTAGCTTATGACTATCAAGAATTTTAGAAGGAAATGAAACTCCGTTGTTTCAGCTTGTGGTAAAATGGTTTTTATTGAGAGCTGTAAACATAGGAGCTTTGTACACACAAAGGATCCCACTAACATAAATTAACTAATCTTGGACCAACGAGGATGTTTTCAATAAATTCCTTAGTGTAGAAGAGACTTTTGAGGAATCCTATGTTGATTGTACTGCAACTACAAAATGGTAAAACAAAAGACAGGACTATTTAGCACTTTAAAGCCTAACAAGATGGTTTATTAGGTGATGAGCTTTCGTGGGCCAGACCCACTTCCTCAGATCAAATTGTGGAAGAAAATTGGCATGACCATATATACCAAATGTCTGTGAGCTAATGATATTAGAGGTGATAATTGGGGAAGCTATCTTTGTAATGGGTACGGTAATTAGCATCTTTGTTGAGACCCAGTCAAAGTGTCAAATTTAAGCATGAATGACAGTTCAGAGGTTTCTCTTTGAAGTCTTGTGTTAAAATGTCTTTGAAGCAGGATGCAGGTAGTCAAGTCGTTGAGACAATGCCCTTTCTGGATTAAACGGCAAGAAACTGTTTTTTCTTTATGACACTGTCTGATATCTGTTTTATGAGCATTGATTCTTTGGCGAAGTGTCTGAGAAATGTCTAATATCATTAGCTTACAGACATTAACCTCCCCCCCCCCCATTCCTCCTCTGTTCTGAAATTTGATTTGTCATTTTTATGTGTGTTTACTTTTTTTTTAATTGTATCCCTTTGGTATATATGGTCACGCCAATTTTCTTCCACAATTTGATCTGAGGAAGTGGGTCTGGCCCACGAAAGCTCATCACCTAATAAACCATCTTGTTAGGCTTTAAAGTGCTAAATAGTCCTGTCTTTTGTTTCAGCTAGACCAGACTAACACGGCTACATCTCTACTATTCTACAAAATGGTAGGCCTTCTCTCCTTAGCTAAAGCTCAAGCCCTTCACAGAATGTGTCTTACCACAGAGAAGAAAAAAAAGATTACAAACTTCTCAAAGTCCAGTCCAAAAAAATATATAAATAAAATATTGGTCATATTCAAACAGTCATTTTCATTAAATACAGGGAATATTTAAAAAAAAAAAATCTACCCTGGAAGTGACCAGAAGAGCAGCAACCTCTTAAGTAGCAGGAAAAATATCACATACCATATTCAAGTTTTCCAGTCCATAATGCCAGCTAAGAGAACAGCCAAACAGGGTCTTGCTTCTTGTATTGGAGATATAAAACAAAGTCTATAAATTGACTCCAATAAAATAGATTGAAATAATTCTACAACAAACAATTTACCTTTTGCCAACAAAAAAGTTATCCAGGAAGTTTTCAGAATCAATGGGAAACTCAATTCAGTAGCAGTCCTACAGACAAATGCAAACATAGTAAACATTTTACAGGAACAGTTCTACCACCACTTAGAATATAGTCTATGGAGAATCACTTGAGTTTGTAGACTCAATTTAAGGCAACAAAGAAAGTTTTCTTTTAAGGTTTATTGGTTACATTACATTCTGAACGGAATTAAAACTACAAACAAGTTTTGAAAGAAATAATTGTTCTTCCATTCAAGAAATGGTAATATTTAATGTCTGAGGAAATTAAGTGAATGTTAATAATTTGCTCATATTATTGTGAGTAAATTTCTGGATCACGTCTGACAAAAAAGTGTCCTAGTCTCCATTCATAGCATTAATGCAATCCAGTTTTGGGAGAAGACAATATTTCCTCTTCTCTCTTGATCTACTGATATGTTTATGAAGCTTATCCTACCACTGTGAGTTTCTTCCATGATGATTGATAAGTCAGTACATGGAGATATCCATGGTGCAAGCTGTACCATGAATACAGTAACCAAGTGAATCACTTCTGCGGCTTTCTTCATTTCCCACTGAAACGCTCTGGTTCCTGCTCTATCCACCAACCAACATCATGTTGGTGACAATAGATCAGGTTTTTTGTATACACTTTAGATATTAGTAGTTAGAGTAAAACACTAACATTTGGCTTGGATAACCTCTAAAATTTGCTATATATAAATAAAAGTCAAACTTACTGACTACTGGGTTGTGCAACGTAGATAAGTCCACAAGTGCTAGGGGGGGAAAAATAAATCAGTTCCTTACTTTGCATACTTTTTATCAAAAAAAGTGTAACATTCTTTGTTTCAGCAGAAATACATGCAATCTCAGAAAATGTCAGTTGTTGTAATTAAAGAACATTGCCAATCTGTTTTTGAAATCAATCTCTCACACACACACACACACACACACACACACAGTGAGCTAATTGTAACTATTAGTTTTACAAGAAGCAGCTTGTGTTGGAATGTTTATATAACTTCACATAATAAATAAAACATTTACATTGATTTAAGTAAACATATGTACTAGAAAGTCTGGATTTACATTAATATTATTTTCCAATGGCTTGCAAATAAAGAGTAGAATCTGTAGCAGGGCTGTGACAGAATTACCAATTCCCCCTCTCCCCATCCCCCATGCCAGCTTTTAGCATTGCAGGCAACTCTAGCATGATTTAAAGATCCTGAGGCTCAGGCTGCTGCCTATGTCCCAGTAGCAGCGGTGGCGGCTGGCCGGGAGGCCCAGGCCCTTTTGAATCACAAGGCCCCAGGGCACTTACCCATTTGCCACCCCACCCCCAATTGATAGGTCTCATCTGTAGTACACGCAAACCACTAGACGAAATAGGTCTTAATACTGTTTCCATTGCCTTCATTGTAATAGTGTTACCACCTCTTTTGCTGAGAGAGTCTCACCATGTTAGTTTCTACTTAAAATCACAGGGTCTTGGAATCAAGAAATAAGAAAATTACAAGTCACTTAACAAAATAAGTTACTAGCCCTCATGATTTACAAGGAAAAACAGAGATCACTAAAACAAGACCTAAGTGTGCATCCTACGGACTCAGGAACCAGAAGTCAAAAGACTAAAAAACGTAAAGCCTCATGATTGAGTCAGACTCAAAGTTTTGAATGCCTGAGGTTGGCAACACTATTTTAAACTTTATCTTTGTAAACTGCCCTCTGTAATATCCGGGGGGGGGAGGGGGCGAGGAAGAAGAGCAATGAATGGGAAAAGACATCGGACAAATGTTCAGAGGCAAGATTTAGAAGTGACATTTTTATACTTCACTAAAGACCTATGGTAGCTTTAAGAAAATATATTTAGGAATTGCCTAGCACTTTCCATACTGACCATTAATTCAATAATGAACTGGATAGATTTAAAGAATTACTATTACCCGTTTCAGAAACCAAATCTACCCTATCCCTTTAGGCAATGGTGGATATCAATAGTATGTGCAGCAGCACTGTTAAGCAACTGAAAAGAAATTACATAAGAACGGCCATATTGGGTCAGAGCAAAGGTCCATCTAGCCCAGTATCCTGTCTTCCGATGCTGGATGCCTCAGAGGGAGTGAACTGAACAGGTAATCATCTAATGATCCTTCTTCTGTCATCCATTTCTAGCCTCTGATAAACAGAGGCTAGGGACACCATTCCTTCCCATCCTGGCTAATACCAACCTAACCTTCATCGAGTCACAGAATACTAGAACTGGAAGGGACTTAGAGAGGTCATCAAGTCCAGTCTCCTGCCCTCACGACAGGAACAAGCACCATCTAGAGGAGTGTTTCTCAACCTTTTCTTAATAAAGTACCCCATTTAAAAAAAAATATATATATATATATATACACACACACACACACACACACACACACACACACACACACACACACGCCCATTACTGACAGTTTTCAGACACAATTTTTTTCTACCACTGCAACACATTTGTTTAAACAACTAAACCATAGGCAGATGAGCAATGAAATTTTTGGTGTAAAAAGTACAAAAATAATAAAGCGCAGTAAAACTTAAAAATTCAGTTTTCATATTCATCAATGATATATTCATAAATGATCTGGAGAAAAAGGTAAATGATACAGGGAGGTGGCAAAATCTGCAGATGGTACAAAATTACTAAAAATAGGCAAAGACTGCTTCAAAAGACTCTCAGAACTGGGTGAATGAACAATAAAATGACAAATGAAATTCAGTGCTGATAAATGCAGTAATGCACATTGGAATACATAATCACAACTGTATATATACAATGATGGGGACTAAATTAGCTACAGATTGGACCGCCTTTGTCCAGCACCCTCAGGACCTGACCCACCCAGAACAGAGGAATTTACTGGATCGGGGAGGCCCTCTGCCACCTGCCTCCCACAGCGCTCCTCCTCCCTGCTACTGGGTTCCAGCCTGCAGGGCTTGGACTCCCACCCACTGGGAGAGTGGAGCTCCACAGCCACCATGGCCATACTTCTCCCCCACCCAACTCGGAATCCCCAGGAATGGGGCTTGCCAGCTGCCCCATTTCTGCTGTGCTCTGCCAAGGATACCCGGGGTCGAGGCTTGCCAGCTGCCCTGCTTTTGCCACAGGCTGCCCCACTACCACCCCACCCAATCAAGGCTCCCCAGGACAGGGCTTGCTGGTCCTCTGGCCGGGACTCCCTGAGGACAGAGCTCTCAGCTGGTTCACACCCCCAGGTGCCGGTCTCTCTGATCCAGTAACAGCCAAATAGACCAAATGTTATATATCCCTTCCTTAATGATTCCTAAGACATAAAATACCATATGGTCCCTATATAAATGTATAGCATGCCCACATCTTGAATGCTATGTGCAGATGTGGTATTTATATCTATATAATAAAAATAAATAAAATTAAACAAAAATATATATTAGAATTAGAAAAGGTTCAGAAAAGGGCAACACAAATGATGAGTATGAAATGGGTGCCGTATGAGGAGAAATTAATAAGAGTGGAACTTTTCAGGTTGAAAAAAATAACTGACAACATGACAAAAGTCTATAAAACCTGATTGGCATGGAAGAAAGAAAGAAAAAGGTATTTACTCTTACCCATAATACAACAACTAGGGATTACCAAATGAAATTAGTAGTCAGTACGTTTAAAAAAAATAAAATATAAGGAAGCATTTCTTGACAACACAGATTCATCCTGTGGAATTCCCTGTCAGAGGATGTTGTGAAGGCTGGGACTTGAACAGGGCTCAAAAAATAGCTAGATAAATTCATAAAGAATAGGGGCATGTAGCGGGGTTTCCGCTCCACCACAGCGCCCCTGCCGTCTGCTCAGGGAATTATATCTGCCGGCAGGTGGCGCGGTCTCTTCGGGACACTGCCCTCCGGCAATGTCCACAATAGCCTGAGCTTTTCCCCCTTCCGGGGGATGGTTCGTTATAGGCCAGCCGGCCTTTAGGAGGCGGATCCTCCGCCTTGGTACACTGGATGGCTAGTCCGTCCTATGGCCCTACCGTGCCTTAGAGTAGTCCGAGGCCTGGCCCTTTAAAAGGTCCGATCCGGGTGCTGGCCGGGTGCCAAAACCCTTATACGGATGCCCAGGCCCTCGAGCAGGGCAGGGCAGCAACTGCTGGCCAGACCCCAACGCAAGGCGGGGCCGCAAACAAACCCACAGGTCTGTAGGAGCTCCTAGTTCAAGAGCGGGGCCGGCAGTGCAGCTGTCGCAGTGGCAAGGGGGGTGGGAGACTGCCACCCGGTTAGTGGGTGGCAGGGGGCGCAGGCCCACCCACTCCACTGCGCCCCGGCCCAGGGGCCCTGGATGCAGCCGTTCCGCTGCTACGGGCTCAGCAGGGGCTCCAGCCCGCAACTTGCTGGCCTAGGGCTGTCCTCAGCCCATGCTACCCCCTGGGCCTCTCCTCGTCTCCCCCCCCTTCCCCAGTACCTGTAGCCTCAGCGGCCTGTCGGGGAGTTGAGGCCCACGTCGTCTCCGCAGGGGCTGGCGGCCCAATCCAGGGGTTAAGAGGTCGGAGCTTTGTAGTGTCCCGTGGGGCTTGTCCAGCCCGGCGTTCCCGTACCCACCGGGGGTCCAGCTGGTCCAGCGGTGCGGTCCCGTCCTCTGGGTCCGCGAGTGGTTCAGCTGACAGGCCGGGCCAGGCCTTAGTAGCCGGGGCAGGGAGTCTCTGGCCCGCCTCTGGGAAGGTGGCTGAGGGCGGCCTACCCCGGGTCTTAGCCTCCCCAGGCAGGAGCTCCAGCCAGGCCTCTGGCTCCCTCGGAGGCTGGCCTCTGACTGAGCTCCCAGGCAGCCTTCTTATAGTCCTAGCCCCGCCCTTTGACTTCCGGTCAGGTGAGGGGGCGGAGCTAGGCTGGCCCCAAAATGGCTCCCAGAGGGGTTCTTCTGCTTCCGGCTCCGAGGGCGGCCATTCCACCCCTCTACAGGGCATCAATGGACATTAGCAAGGATGGGCAGGGATGGTGTCCCTAGCCTCTGCTTGTCAGGGCTGGGATTGGGCAACAGGAGCTGATCATTTGACGATTACCTGTTCTGTTCATTCCCCTATGAGATGCATGGCATTGGCTTTTGTTGGAAGAAAGGACACTGGGCTAGGTGCACCTTTGTTCTGACCCAGTGTGGAAGTTTTTATTATCTTATATTTTAGTGCTGTGAAATATCTCTCTTTGTAGAATGCAACAAGAAAGTAATTTAAGAATATTCTAGGAAAGGCTGAGGTACTGGCATGACATACACACTAGCACTTTGAAGGACTAAAAACCGTCCTGTCAATAATTCATCCCTGTCCCAGTAAATTCAAGAAATAGAAGTTCTGTATTTCTGCTCTGGAAGAAATACCAGAACTCCACCCAAGAGTGCTCTAAAGCAGCCCATGTTGATTTAGAAAAAAAAGAAAAGATACACAGAAGACTTAAATCTGTTCCCATTCACTGTGCGCCCTCCCTCCCCTGCCCCTCTCAGAAAAGGCTATCACTGTCAATTGAGTCATAGTTATACTGCTGAATTTCTGATCAGCTGAGGCCCTTAAGATGGCTCATCCGTAGTACACAAGGACAGGAGCTGCTCACCGACCATTCCCCATAACACCTTTCGCCTCAGGATAGCATATTTTTCCAATCTAGGGGTGGAGAAAGGGACAGAGACAGACACTTAAAAGTACTCAAATCTCAACATTTTTCTCAGTGTAAGGGGACTGTTAGCTCCTTACTAAAACTCTGTGGGAGTTTTTGGTTCACCAGCTCCCAATATCAAAAGGGGAAGGGTCCCTGGGAAATCAGGGCTCTGAGACTGACAGACTCCAGAGACAATGGAAAGCAGCCAACACTCCAGCTCGCCCTGATTGACAGGTTGGATAGGCCAGTGAGGAAAGTAAGAGGCCAGGCACCGTCCTCCCTGAGAGCTGGGATTTTTCTGGGTCTCTCTGAGCAAGAAGAGAGAGCTGAGAGACAGCTAAGAGGAGCAAGCTGTGCTAAGGGGCAGTCCTGCAGCAACAAAGCCAGGCACACACAGTCCAAGGAGCGCAAACCCTGAGTTGAGCAGCAGACTGGCAGTGCTCAGAGAGCCAAAAGGGACAGAGAAGCAATGCAAGGAGCTGGAGACTGGCAAAGCAGCACAGCCTGCAGCCGAGTGTGGTGAGCAGCTGGGAGCAGCAAAGCAGGGGGAGAGGCTCTGGGCAGGGAGATATCACCAGCCAAGAGGCCCAGCAGGCAAGACTGGGAGAGGGATCTGACCACCTAGAGCTTGAGGCTGTATGGTCATTGCCAGAGCAAGTGTGTCCAGCCTGCAGCCCCCCCCTGCAGCACGTCCAGGGCCTCTAAGGGGCTTATAAGGAAGAGACTGTGAACTACACTCTGCAGACTGCTGTTTGTGATGCCCCCGTGCTACAGAGCAGGACTGTGTGTTCTCATTTAACCTCTCTCATTTTTTCTTATTCTTTTCTCTCTAATCAGTTGATGTTTAATAAATTGTATTTGCTTTGAACTTTATGGAATGATCACTGGGCCAAGAAAGCATGCAGTGTGACGAGAGCACCCCAGAGAGGGGAGACACTACTCCCTGCCCCAAGTGACAACAAGGTCGGGGACTAAGCCCCAGGAAACCTGGGCCCAGCCTTGTCGGGGTTTTGAGGACTGCTACTCAGGAGAGTGGAGGGGGAGTCCTCAGGATCAGGGAGGCCGTGGAGTAAAGGAAGTGGGAGCGGGGACTCAGATCCTTTCGTTGGTCCATTTCACCGGGGTGGTATAGAACTCAGGAAAGTTCCCCACAATAGCGGGACCATTTCCCTGCTTACATCAGGAATTTGGGAAGAGGAGGAGATGAGAACTGAATGGGATTACTTAGGTAATGAGGTTTTCAGGGATAGTTTATTTGTACAATACCTAAAAAATTATACTGGAGACCGCGCATGTTACCATAGTACAAATAAGAGCAACAGTAGCAATAATAGGATGATCCTGTAGTGCAGTATAAAAGCCATGATGTAAACAGAGTATTTCAGTACAACTGATTTTAAAATAATGGGAGAGATGCCCAAAGTTTACAATAGGCACTTCTAGTACTTATTATGATTTCAAAAACAACATGTCAGCAAAAAATGATTTCCATTAGTTGAAACAAAAAAAAAAAGTACCTTTCAAACTTGTGATATAGTGCAAATAATACATCATACTTCTTCCTCAATCGTGATACATAACTATCAACTTTAGTGCTTATGGTATCCATGTTAACGTCCATCTCTCTCAACAAATGAAAACATGTACATATACTGCAAAGGGAAAGACAAATGAAAGATTAGGAGTTTTGTTTCTTTAAAACAAAAACCAAAAAAAGAGAACAGTATCTTTACAGTAACTGGTTTTCCGAGAGGAGGCGTACATACAGATTTCACATTTTGGTGCACACAGTTTTCATATGCTCAACAAGTTCCTTTTAGATATCAGTGTCCAACAGAGCCAGGATTGCACCTTTCATGCTCTCATGTCTCCCTCTCCCCCAGGACAGGAAAGCAGAATGGGCCCAACCTTGCCTCAGTTTCTTCACAAATATAGACTCAGATTAGGGTCTTTGCATCAGTGGGGAAAAAAGAGCAGGTTACAGAATCAATGTGGGTAAAACATCTTGGAGATCCAGCTGTTACTGTAGGGTAGGTATTTGCTATGAGTGTCTGCCCACACAGATTCAACTCTGTGATTAGCAAATAGATGTCTATTTGCCTGAAGGTGGGCATAAGTAATCTATCAGAAGGCATTTCTCTCTGGAGTGCCAATATATGGCACATCACAGTAAAACCCACGCTTCTGCCTCCATTTCCCGTCCAGTCATTCCCAAAAATATACAAAAAAGTGTTCCAAGTATATACAAAAGCAAACTCCATGCCACAAATGAATCAACTCATCAACATTCCATCCATACAGTCCCAATGTCTCTCACCATGATCTGTATTTCAGTATACCTCCAGCATCTCCCACTATGCCTCAATCCCAGATATTGTTCTGCATTACTAGCCATGCCTCAATCCAAGCCTTCACTGGCCATGTGGTTTCAGTTTTCCAGTTCAGAGAGCCAGCAGGCTCTCTCTCTCTCTCTCTGAGGCTCCCAGCCTTTAAGCCCTCTATGGCCTTCTTTCGCCATAGCTCTGTGGCTCAGGGAGGTCCACAAGCTATCTCCTCCAGTGGCTTTCTTGAAGTTTTTCCTTTCAAGGGAGGGCTAGGCCAGAGACCTCCTTCCAGTCTCCTGACTCCCAAATAGCCCTCATACCGGCTCTTTCTGACTGAACCAAGCGGCTCTCACCTCCCCCTTTCCCATCTTAGCTGCTTTCCTACTTACTAGTACCCGGTACCTCCTCTTTTAAGCTTATTTGGGAGGCAACCGGGCTAGTCACTCAGATTCTTTTTTAAACTAGTGATGCAAGACAGCGCTACTGAAATAGCATCCAAACCTCAGGTCTGAAGTAAGGCTTCTCGGTGACCTCATAAGAGAAAGTGTGAGCACTAAACGTGTGGACCAAGATCCACAGTGATGTTCTACTCATCTTAGACTGCTTTGGCCATAGTGGAACAGAGATTTGGTATGGCCAGGGAACTTTTCCTCACTAACTGATAAGTTCTTACACAGTCAAAAACCCAACTAGATAACCTTTGAGTGAAAGTTGCCCTGACTATCAAGTGTCATTAATAGCCTAGATGTGTTCCTAAACAAAAAGGGTATGTCTAGACTTACTTTCACTTTCGAAAGAAGAAATGCAAATTTGGCGATAATTTGCGTATCTTCTTCCCATCGCTGTTTTGAAAGGGTTTCTTGAAAAAGCAAGCAGTTTAAACGCGGTTCTTTAAAAAAAACACACTTTTCAAAAATTGAGGTTTACGGGTTTTCGAAAAAAGGGATTTCCCCCCAAAAGAACCGCGTCTATACTGCTTGCTTTTTCGAAAAAAGTTTGAAAAAGCGATCGAAAGAAGATATGCAAATTACCAAATTTGCATATCTTTTCAAAAGTGAAAGTAAGTCTAGACATACCAAAAATGTTCATCTAAGTAAAACACTTTTTAGCAAAGCTTTTGAAAGAAAGCCACTTGAACAGCCCAATTTATATAGAATTTCGAGAGTACTTTGAACAAGAACTTTGGGTGAGGTCTAAGAGGATACCCAATCACTCTGAAATACCATATACTGGACACCTGACATACATCCCATAGGAGAGATACAGGCTTGTAATGCCCACCAAGAAAGAAAGGGAGGTGGTTACTAAGGGTTTAGCCAACGTTGCTAATCCTATATTCAGATTACAGGACAGAGGTAGCACCCAAACTGGGAGGTATGGAAAAATACATGCAAGAATCCCTCAGGACTTTTGTTACTTTAAGATATGAAGTAGGGATGTTAAAGTATAACTGTTTATGTGATTAACCGATGAGCCCAGGCTCATCAGTTAACATGCATGGCTACATGCAGGCCCCTCTCCCCCTGCGGTGCTGTATGATATAAAGGCAGCAGCACGGGGTGGCAGCCATTGCCTGCACATGTAACCATTAACATTTTTACACATTTTAACACCCCTAATATGACGACAGCATGCTTATAGATATTTCAACAAAATTAACTCTCGTTTTAGCATTGATGAAGACAGGGGCAGATAACTGTTTTGCGGGGCCCTGGGCAGCATAATTCTGCAGGGCCCCCATTTTGCCACGGCGCATGCATGGGGCTTTCTGAAGCGCGGGGCCCGGGGCAGCCGCCCCGTTCGCCCTGCCCTATATCCGCCCCTGGATGAAGAGTCCACACTGCTTTTGAGCAAGTTGCTTAAGATTGTTGAAAATGGAGATACCAGTCGTGAAAGCTGGTGCTGAGATATTCAGATGTAAAAAAGTCTTTGTTTAGTTCTGTAAACCCATTTGGTTGAGGGGTTTCCTGCTCTGGAGAAGAATGTTCTGAACCTCAGCTGAACAGACTATTAACTGTAAAGATGCTGGGTCACTGCTTTAAGAAAGCAGTTCTCAAACTGTGGATCAGGACCACAACGTAGGTATTGACCCCATTTTAATGAGGTCACCCAGGCTGGCTTAGCCTTGTTGGGGCCCATGGCTGAAGCCCAAGCCCCATTGCTCAGTGCCAAAGCTTTTAGTGGCAGGGCTCAGGTTACAGGCTCCCTTTCTAGGCTGAAGGTACAGAGTTTGAAATTTGCCCCCATTTCTACCTCCCAAGCAGCGAGAGTCAGACATTAGCCCTCTTCACCCAGAACAGTGAGGCTCAGGTGGGCCCAGGCTTCAGTGCCCCCTCCTGGAATCATGTAGTAATTTTTGTTGTGAGAAAAGGGTTATGGTGCAATGAAATCTGAGAACCCCCGCTCTAAGAGACTATCAAGTGGAATGGGCAAGGTAACTGGGGTCTGTCTTGATAAGTCTAATACCAGCATTACCCGGCTCTTGCTGAAGTTATCGATGCGTCCTGCATCCTTGTCTCAGAATTTAGAATAAGGCTAGAAATAAACAGCTGACTAGCTAGTCCAGTGGCTCTCAGGAAGGGTAAATTTCAGAGAACCTAGTCCTCTACTATACAACTTGCACAGCCAGAGAGAGGCAGGGACAAGATGATGGTAAAAATATTCCAACCCCTCTGCAAAGACATATCTTTTGTCCACACTGGTACCAGCAGACCATAATTTACCAAAATGGCTGAACTGTCTAGTTCCAGACTGAACTAGATCTGAGAATGTGTGTTTCTCTTGTACAGTCTCAAGGGGAATATCTAAGTTTCTGCCACATGTTATCGAGTCTTACTAAACTGCAAATTCATTCATTCATCCACCACCTCTCCCAAAAACAGATTATTAAAGCCATGAATGAGTGCCCCTACCCTGGGGAATGTTCCTCTTGATTCTCCTCTTTTGATGAAAAATATTACATGGAGATGGTTGGGAAATTGTGAAATCTTAAATGAGATAGTTCATATTTATGCACTTTGTTGGTGAAACGGGGAGAGCTAGAGGTTTGATGTAGTTTACGCCTGGATCAAAATGATGAATGCTTGCATGGGTGCCCTTATTTGGTAAGTCATATACAAGGCCCAGACTGATTAAAAACAAGAGTCTTGGTAATCTTACCCAAAAAATGTTGCCTGCTGCCAAAATACTGCAGATATTTCAATTCATGCAAAACATACCTCATGCCTATACTTTTCAGAAGCTCTGTAAAAGTGAATGTCATCTCATCCAGGTCAACTGCTGCAGTAAAGATACAGATCCCCCACATGTCCTTTTTCTTTTCACTACAACTCACCTAGTGGAAGAGAGAACACAGCTTTAGCTTGCTTTTATGTACAGAACAGGAATGTGATAAAACAAAGCTATAATTTCTAGTTCCTTGGCATGTCAAAGAGATCCAAATATTTACATATTCCTAGAGGAAAATACAAAGACATTCCAATATTCTCTTGGCAAAATAAGCTTAATTTTCCCTGTAAACTTCAAAATTGGCTTACAAAGGAAATGATGGTGTTTCCATTGACAGACAGTTATGTGCTTCAACTATACATAAGCAATAAATTGTCATTAATGCATATTAACACTAAGTGCCTCAAACCTTGTAGACAAGTCTGATTACAGCTTTCAGGACTAGACTATAATCACTTTTTTAAACAAAATCTTAGATTGTTACAAACCCACAAATAAAGGAAATGTACAGTTAGACTTGTGTGAAAAGTAGATCACAATGTTATTATGCAGCCAGTTCTACTTAGCAGGTGAATGTATGCAACTTTTTTTTTTTTTTTTTAAAACAATGTTGATAGATGGTTGGGATCTGCCTATTGTCCTCTGGATGTTCAATATTCTTCCCATTGTACATTTTACTAGATCTACTGACATACTCAAGTCATTCCCTATGCAACAGTTCCTGGTGACAAGTCACAAATCTGAAGAAGCAGTACCAACTCAAAATTAGCACTACTAGCACCTTCAGTTATGCATCTAAGCAAGAGTTGAAAGCGAAGCTGACAGACTAAAGGATTTGTCCTGTAAGAAAACAAACGAACCCAGATTTTCACCAAAAAAAAAAAAAAATCAGCAACTGTACTGGGATTCTAATTAGAAATAAGAGTCCATGAGCACATCTGACTTTTGCTGTATCAGGAGTTAATGCTGCATTGCAGTTATAGAAGTAAATCCACATCACACAAACTTAAAGATTACCAAGCCATATCGTTAAAACTTGAAACAAAAGTCGAAGCAGAACGGTGTCCCTGCTCAACTAAGTGGGATTTCAGCATATGAACTCTGATTAGCACCAGCTTCTTATAGAGCAGGGGCAGGGAACCTAAGCCCCAGGGGCTGCATATAGCCATCAGCTTGCCAGGATCAAGCCCCCAAAGCTTGGGGCTCCTTTTCCAGCACTGGGGAACCTGTGCTGGCACTCCAGTCCCCTCACCGTACCTCCACAGGGATGGAGTACACAAAAATCTACTAGGCTGGGTCCCTTAGGCTCTAGTGTGCGAGGGGAATGTGGAGAGTTTCTTTTAGGGATGTGAACGACTAACAGAAGCAACAAGGGGGTAGAAGAGAGAATGTTTCAAAGCAGAAGCATCATAGTATCATTTCATAGCATCAAAGAAGGAATGGAGGAGGTTGAAACTACAGAAAATGAGGACTCTCCTTGAAACTGCATAGCAAAATATCTGATCCAGTCCAAGTGGCAAATTGCCTCAACTTAGATCTAGCCAGTAAATCCACTCAAACTTTATACAATTACTTTTTGTACTCTAAAATCAAGTTATTTTAAAAAAATCTATTTCAAAATGTGCATGTTTCCCGTTGTCTCAAGACAAACCCAGATGAGAAGACAGTAAATTAAAACTAATACTGCAATCAAATTAGAGTACAAGCTGCCATACCAAAGTAACCACCAAAGTAGCCACCTCAAACATTTAAAGTAAGATTTGGAAGTTGCTGGAGCATGGAGCCCCTTCTTACCAAGGGTATGTCTAAACTACAGGGTTTTGTTGACAGAAGTTTTGTCGACAGATACTGTCGACAAAACTTCTGTTGACAAAGAGCGTCTAGACTACATCCAGTTCTGTCGACAAAGCAAGCCACTTTGTCGACATAACAGTGTGGACGCAAAGGACAGTGTAGATGCAATAGTGCCTTCTATCGACAGAACTCTGTCAACAAAAGGCGTTATTCCTCGTAGAACGAGGTTTACATACGTCGACAAAAAACTCAGCAGTTGTCAATGTTATGTCGACATAACTCAAAAGGCAGTGTGGACGCAGGTATAGTTTTGTTGACAAAAGTCCACTTTTGTCGACAAAACCCTGTAGTCTAGACACACCCCTAGTAATGAGCAAGTTATAGAACTGTCTAAAAGCCTAGACACACAATATGGGTGAGGCAATATCTTTTACTGGTCCAACTTCTGTTTATGAAAGAAACAAGCATTGGACCAATGAGTCCTTTTTCAGATGGTACTCAATGTCACAGGTAAATACAAAATTGAAGATATGCTACATATTCTATACTCAGAAACTATTCAAGGTGAAGTGGCCCATTAACACTCCTGTAGTCATACGACAAGAGGCGGCTAGTGGGTTACAGATTTTCATACACTATGAATCCAGTACAGGCAGTTCCCGAGTTACGCGGATCCGACTTATGTCGGATCCGCAGTTACGAACGGGGCCCTCCCTCTCCCTGGTCTCCAGCAGACCAGGGAGAGGAAGCAAAGCAGCGGAACACGCGGGCAGCGGACAGCCCAGACGCGTCTGAGCTGTCAGCTGGCCGCGTGTTCCACCGCTTTTCTCTGCTCTGCTCTGCTCCCCGTCCCCCTGATCTGCAGACCAGGGGGATGGGGAGCAGAGCAGAGCAAAGCCGCGGAGCACGAGGGCAGCAGGATAGCCACGGCGCGTCTGGGCTGTCCCGCTGCCCGCGTGGTCCGCCGCTT